GCCAGAGTCCAGGCTGGCGCTACGCCACGCTACGGCGGAGAAGAGGCCGTCAAAAAAGAACGAAAACATGCATCTTCTGGAGCGCCGCACCACGACTCCGAGTCCGAGCGGTCTCCCAACCAAGTTTTTACCGCACCGAGCAATTCTTAACTCGACTGATCCCCCGCACGACTAGTCTGGTCGTGCGACAGCGCAGCCGAGTTCGCTATCCCACTCTCCGAGAGGCGATCACAACTGATCAGGACTGATCAGTTTCATTTTTTCGCTGCAAAAGGGAGGGTGATGCCAACGACATGGGGAGTTCCCAGGCGGTCTCCCATCCAAGTACTGGCCCCACCCAGCGCTGCTTGACTTCGGTGTGCAGATGGGAACCGGTAGATCCAGCGCGGTATGGCCGTTGGCGAAAGATCCTTTGAACTCTACTCTCTCCCTTTTTTCGTCGGTCTGCGTTAGCCGGAAAGAAGTCAGGCAGAGAATTATGCCTGGCTGCTAGACCGTTGCGGCCAGGGACGGTTGGCGCGCCAAGGGAACGTTTTCAATCACGTTCCAAAGGCGGTGATTTCATTCGAGGAGCAGCAGGCCGAGCCGAGAGGTCAGTCGGCCACCAGAGGCAGAATGAGCAACATCATTGTGATTTCGAGTGACGAAGCTAGCGACGCAGAGTGCCACGTGGACCCGCCATCTGAAAGTTATTTTTCTCTCGCCAACTCCCTCAAGCCTGTGAGTTCTTCAGCTCCGACAAGATTCGTTCGGGCTACGGATCTGAAACCAAGTGTGTGGCAGGTTAGTCTCCAGCGTCGTGCGGCCAAGTGTCTTGTTTCGTTCCGACCCGACCCAAGTGTTTGTGTTCTTCGGACGACTAATTTTAATCTCTGTGTTTGCGCAGAGCGACGAGAGCAAGTCGTTCGCCGCGGTGACGCCAGTCCAGCCCGGGACGCATCTGAACAAGGTTAGCTTCTGCCCGCCCCACGTGTCTGTCTGTTTATTTACGGCGACGAGAGAATAATCCTTTGTTCCC